AGACCTCTCTCTTGATAAGAAAACAGAAAATAACAATTAATAAAAGGATGAGAAGTCTCTTGGGTGTGAGATTAAAATGGGAAGAATTAAAATCAAGCTGAAAACATTCAACGAGAAATTTTACACTCAATACCCGAAGTGCAAAGAGAAACAAGAATTCTTGATAGAAGCAAGTGTCAAAAGACATTGTTGGATGTGCAACACATTTAGAAATCAGCATGTACCAAAGTCCTGGGACAGAAAAACAAGGAACAGTGGATGACAACAGCAACATGGACTAATATAGAAGCTAGAAGAAGAGAATTAAAACCAGTGCACTGACAAACGGGGTGGGGGGTGGAGCTTCAGAAGTAATCGCAAACATTGAAAGGAAACGTTTAATTTTGGAAATAAAAAAAAAGAAGCTGAGGTAGCTACATGACAAGTTAACTTAAAAATCTGTACGCCATTACAAGAACCTTGTTAGGCAAGAAAACCCCAGTAGTTCTTTGAAGGAATAAAATCGGAAAGCTGTAACAAGTGATCCTGAAGATAGAGATCGCTGGGTCCAGCTTTTTTAGAAGATTTTAAATAGATCACCTACACCAACTACTCAAGATATACCACCCACTTCAGAACTGCTACAGATGGACACATGTCTACAGTCTAAGGCTTATGTCTTTGAAGCCATCAGCAAGATTAAGAATAAGTCAGCTGAGCCAAATGGAATTCTACCATAGGCATTTAAAACAGACCTATCTGCAACAGTGGACATGTTGTAACCATTCTTACAGAAAAATGTCTGAACAAGAACAAGTCCCTGCGAATTGGAAACTGATAATCTAGTGAAGATATCAAATAAAGGTGACATTTCTCAATTAAGCAATTGGAGAGGAATGATATTATTATTACTCCCTACAAAGATACTCACGAAAATCAAGATTGAGAAGCAAAAGGAGGCTGTGGACAAAAAATTAAGACCAAACAGGCAGGTTTTTGACAGAACTTGTTAGTTAACGACCGCTTAGCCACTATGCATCTCTACATGACTTTGTTGAGAAATAATTTGATAGTGTTGAGAGAGATGTTTTGAAGTTGATGAAGCACTATGGAATCCCTACAAAAGTATTTATTAACATTATCAAACAGCTATATACTCTCAAACTGACAGATTATCCACAACAAGTTGTCTAGCCTTTACCGATGAAAACTGGATTACGGCTTTTGCAATTGTTTTTTTTTATAGTCATATACGGCATCATGAGGTGAACAACCTAACGCCAAAAAAACTGGAATTCGGTGGACTCTCATTGAACAGCTAGAGGACTTAGATTTTGCGGATAGCAGCAGCCTCCTCTCACATCCTCAATAGTGTGCCTAGTCCAAGCAAAGCAAACTCAGCGAAGCACTTAAGACAGATTAACGATAAACGGGAGCTCCGACTGATATATAGGAAGTGTAGTAAGGAAGGATGGAGTACCAGATGAGGACATGAAAAGCCGTATCAGCAACACCTCCCGCACAACATGGACAATATAAGCTTTCCAAAATATTCGTTGCCCTACATGGTTCAAAGACTTTAAGAGTAACACCAGCTAATAACTTCTTCAAAATTTCATTAACAGGTGCCTCCGCCGCATATTCAACATCAGGTGGTCTGAAAAAGTTACCAATGCCGATCCGTGGAGCAAGACTGGGCAAGACCATTTTTACAAAGAAAAACAAAAACGCAAATGGGCATAAGCTGGACAAACTCTTCATAAACCAACAAAAAAGATTAGAATCCACAAGGATAGAGGAAAGTAGTTAGGCCGAAAAAAACAGAAGCAGCCTGAATGCCCAATTTGAAGGAATCGCCCAGAAACAAATACGATGGAAATATCTGGTTGCGTCGCTTTTCTCCATAGCGGTTTCACAGAAAAGATAATGATGATGATGATGATTAAAAATCAAATACAGGAAAATAATAAATATACACGATTTTAAAATTAAAAAAAATAAAGTTGAATTAAACGATTTACCCGAGAAGTCTGATGTCCACGTCTACTGCCGCACACTACACCCTACACCGTTGTGCTAGACTTTTTATTCCTTCTGTCTAACCCACGCACAAAATTCCTGGATTAGGATTAAAACCCACGCGTCTCGTGCTGCCTTTGAAATAAACACACCTGATTGAATTATCTAAATAAAAATACACTTAAGAAATTTGATTGTACATCAGTCATCTATCTCATATGTGGTTAATCGGCAGTGGCGGAACAACCATGTTAGCAGCAGGATAAAGACCAAGAGGCCCTGAGGTCCAGGGGCCCCCGAGTGTTTTAATTAAACTATGTAAATTATCTGGTAACTATTTTTTTCTCATTTCATTATTTTTAAGAAGAAAAATGTTCTTCCAGTCGTTCTCTATTCCGTCAATTTGAAGTCCATGGCAGGAAGTTAACATGGCAGGTTTTTCTCAGGCATCTTGTACATGTAACAGTAGTTGAAACGATGTGCAAATATATGGAGAAAGTGTATGAATAAACGTACCGAAAATGCTTTACTTTAAAAATCTGTGTTATCAATAAGTTCACAAGTCTAAGAACATAGGATTGGTAATGCAATTATGAAACCGTCTTAAAATACTGAGTCAGACTTACTTCTGAGACCGCGGCAACACACGGGGACGGGTAAGATATTGTATGGTTGTATATATATATATATATATATATATATATATATATATATATATATATATATATATATATATATGTATATGTATATATATATATATATATATATATATATATATATATATATATATATATATATATATATATATATATATAATGGCCACAGCCTTTTAATCCCACGCTCCCCCGACCGACACGTTACGCCGCTGCATATCGGGAAGAGATTAATCACTTTTTCCAATGCAGTTGGCATGTTTACAGCCAGCCATCTGTTTCTACAGAAAGCCCTTTGACAACTCTCTTCACCAAAGAGTTATCGATGTTATATTACTGACTAATAGCTTGTTTAATTAACTGGATGAATGAAATATTTGAAATAAAACACTGCAATAAAATGAGGAATATTAACTTCTTAATTATTTTGTTTTCGTCTCGTATTCTTTACACACACAAATACACAACCATTCCCCCCACACACATACATTATATATATATATATATATATATATATATATATATATATATATATATATATATATATATATATATATATATATATGTGTGTGTGTGTGTGTGTGTGTGTGTTTGTTTGTTTGTATATATATATATATATATATATATATATATATATATATATATACATATATATATATATATATATATATATATATATATATATATATATATATATATATATATATATATATATATATATATATATATATCGTTGTTTGTGTATGTATATTTATATTTATATATTTATAATATAAAATTAAAAAATATAAATTATATATATGTATATCTTATATATCTAAATAAACTATACATAGACTACACTTAATATAATGTATATTATATATATGTGTGTGTTTGCGCACGCGCGTGTGAGTGTAATTGTGTGTGTGTATGTGGGTGTGGGTGTGTTGGTAAAAAATCAAAGTAAACTTTCTACCCGCGCGGAAGGTAAAGCAGAGTGCACCTCATTCACCAACTGGATCTAGAAACTGCATTCTTTTCATAACGGATATTGCATTGGACCTGTGCTAGACCCAACAACGTCCTGTAGTGGACATCCACTCTACTGGACACAACTTCCTAATGTAATAGACCCCCACATACGACCTTATACACTGCCTTTACTGTAAAAGTTACTTTAAAATGTCTTTGTTCGTATTAGAAAGAAATTAAATCGATTAGCAATCCAACATATGTGCACTTGATCGATGTTGCGAAATCAAAGAATTTGTGAGTAGGAGTAGCGGGATTGTGTAACGCATTATACAATGGAGATGATGGTTTGGCGTCACGGGCGATCATACGCGACCATTTACGAAAGTTGATGTTTGGTCAGCTACGACGTTATACAAACGTGGGACCTATGGATGGTCAACTACAATCCCACACATATTTTTGACTATATCCTCACAAAAATGTCGCATGCATAGACTCCAACCACACACACATGAAAGAGACGTGTAGATAATCAACTATAGGGCTGGTACGTAGGTCACCAACCAGTGCTACGGCTTGATAAAACTTGCATGAGCCATAGAACTGTTTATTGACCTACTTACCAGCCCTATAGGACCTACACTCTCACACACTGTAAAGTGTTGTTCACCGGAGCCCTAACATTTATATTACCCGGGGTGCACTTGAGTTTCTAAAATGAGAACCAGCCTATGTTATTTTTTAAAGAGCTCTTTACAATAGTTTTTTCCCGGTGGAAGGGGGCGGGATGTGGCTACTGCAATCAATGACTTAACTGAAATAATAAACGGAGCCTGGTGACCAGTGAAAGTGTATTAGTTGCTTCTACTAGCAATCCACTGACCCCTGTAAGGTTGCTTTGGGATTTGTTCTTTAAGACCCTCCCACTCTTTTTTATGTTGTCTATTCGAACTTGAACACGTGTCTTTTCATTTGGATACCGTGTGGTTAGAACAGAACGTGTTTTCACTGTCGAGTCGAAAACTATGTTTACAGCTTGTCTGTAGTATGTCAAGTCTTTCACAACGCTGTTGTAAGCACACGAATACTTCGGGTAGGAAGTCCATTCTACATTTGACAATTGTGAGATAAATGTAACATACCTAGTTGACGTCTTTCTCACCCTAGCCCTAGCCCTAGCCCTAGCCCTAGCCCTAGCCCTAGCCCTAGCCCTAGCCCTAGCCCTAGCCCTAGCCCTAGCCCTAGCCCTAGCCCTAGCCCTAGCCCTAGCCCTAGCCCTAGCCCTAGCCCTAGCCCTAGCCCTAGCCCTAGCCCTAGCCCTAGCCCTAGCCCTAGCCCTAGCCCTAGCCCTAGCCCTAGCCCTAGCCCTAGCCCTAGCCCTAGCCCTAGCCCTAGCCCTAGCCCTAGCCCTAGCCCTAGCCCTAGCCCTAGCCCTAGCCCTAGCCCTAGCCCTAGCCCTAGCCCTAGCCCTAGCCCTAGCCCTAGCCCTAGCCCTAGCCCAAGCCCTAGCCCTAGCCCTAGCCCTAGCCCTAGCCCTAGCCCTAGCCCTAGCCCTAGCCCTAGCCCTAGCCCAAGCCCTAGCCCTAGCCCTAGCCCTAGCCCTAGCCCTAGCCCTAGCCCTAGCCCTAGCCCTAGCCCTAGCCCTAGCCCTAGCACTAGCCCTAGCCCTAGCCCTAGCCCTAGCCCTAGCCCTAGCCCTAGCCCTAGCCCTAGCCCTAGCCCTAGCCCTAGCCCTAGCCCTAGCCCTAGCCCTAGCCCTAGCCCTAGCCCTAGCCCTAGCCCTAGCCCTAGCCCTAGCCCTAGCCCTAGCCCTAGCCCTAGCCCTAGCCCTAGCCCTAGCCCTAGCCCTAGCCCTAGCCCTAGCCCTTTTACCAGGGGTTTATGAGGTGGGACTGACGTCTAAGGTTCATCTCTGTAAGAATTCAGCAAAATTAGGAAATACAATTTGCCTTACAGTATAGACTGTCTAGGAGAATCACACTTTATATTTCCATTTATATAACTTGTATACATTCTGCAAATATATAGCATTTAATAACATATATAACACTTAATACATGAACAATATTTTTTGAATTTATTTTCTCAAGTGATATTACAAGCATTTGATTTTTTCTAAATCAACAACCAAGATAATGAAATATCTTCAATAACTTTCTACTTGACTTTAATTAGAAGTCTTCAAGCCCCAGCTCATCATGCAGCCTCCCCTCCTGTCGTCCGTTTTGTCACGGTAGTACTCGGTCCAACTGTTTGCTTTGACGCACTGGCTCAATGGAGCTGTTCCACCACACTGTGCAGCGTCTCCGTCTGCTTCCCAGTTGAAGCACATCTGTACGCCTTTCATCCAAGTTGGGGAGCTGTCCGGGACTTGAATCATCCATCTCATCATACAGCCCCCATCACGTTTGGTTGTATCATCAAGATATTCAGTGGTGTATTTGTTGACATCAGCGCAGTAGGTTTTACCAGCATCACCCCCACATTGAGCAGCGTCAGACTCTGCGTACCACTGATAGCACATCTTCACTTTACTCAGCCAATCTGGTGGATTACTTGCAGAGGAAATGATCCCCCATTGCATCTTACAGCCACCAATCCTCCAATCCGTCCAGTCGTGGTAAAAAGGGGTCATTTGGTTGACGTTGGCGCACAGGTTTTCAGACACGTTTCTACCACCACATTGATAGCTGTCAAACGTCCCCGACCAACGCAGGCATAACTTGGTGTTGCTCACAAACCAAGCAGAATCAACATCTCCACGTTTCTCTCTTGAGAATGCACCACAGACTGACACCGCCACAGCAAACACGACTAGTATAGACTTCAACATGACCGTAACCTGTAAAACATCAACATGAAAACTAAATAAAAGTTATTGGATATGATTATTTAAACATTACTTTGATCCTGTAACTAGTAAATAGTTAAATCACTGTTTTACTGGTATGCCAATGATAAGGGTTAATTCCTTAACTTAAAGTATTCAGGGCTGCGTATGATGGGGAAAGGAAATTAATGTTACAAGCTGACCTGCGGCGTATCATACGCCGCTATTTAGTTGTTTTATTTTTTACTTTTCAGTACTTTATAGTTAGTGAATTCGACACTACCCTTCCTTCCATCCCCCCCCCCCCCCGGCCACCGTGAAAGTAGCCGTCCGTGACGACAGTTTACTGACGACAATGAAAAGATCAAGCAGAATATCTTACCTCTCCTTAGTTTCAAATCGTTTAAAAGCCAAATTATCTGCTCCTAATAGCCGTTACTATTATTCGACCCGGATCTACGATTGTAAACATACGTGGTGAACCTTAGCTCAACAGAATGGTGGGGGTGGTAGCTATATGCCTAGAGAGCGGGGGAGTAACGGTGTGCGTTTACGACATGGTCCCCAGGAAGAGAATTATATTTATAGATTATAACGAGATAGCTGTTACGTGTGAACAATGGAATGAGTAGAAACATAGAAAATGGTTCTAAAAACCGCAGCATCTGAACGATTGATTAATTCCTTCGGGGATCGAATGAAATGGATAAGCGCTTAGCCTAAGCCTTGAGATAGACATATAGAAATGCAAAAGTATACAGTGGGCACTTAATAGTTTATTTAAGACGATTTGGGGATGTAGAGTAGGGGTCACTAGGTGAGCGAATGCAATGTACTTTAATTGAAGGTGGGGGATTGGCTAACGAGGCACGACATCAACCTAGAGGTAACCCTACATTTTTAGGTAGTCTATAAGTATGGAGCTCAGGAATACAACCGGAAAGAACGATAAGACAAGAAGGAGTGTCATGTGAAGACGGGGATCACGTGAGATGAGAGATAAAAGACAAACACGGTTTATCTTAGACTATAGTCCATAAACCTAAGACTAGGCGGAATCGGGACCTGGCGTGTTGGATAAGAGTTCATCCATCGAAGAGGTTTACTAAACGCATAAAAAAGAAAATTACTATAGGGAGATTATGACAAATTGGCTAGAAATAAAATACAAAGTATCAAGTTCTAAATGTAGACTAAGCGGAACAAGGACTGACGTGAGTGTGCCAACCATACTTGACTTTAAGCACTTTGGAAATCTGTTGCTTTTAACGTTGTCAGTTGTGAATTGTACTTTACTTATACATGCTAGTCTACACAATCTACTTTACGGAAACAAAGTGAACCTGTAAACGCGATAGCAACATCTCTTCTTACATCAGGTACAATCATATGAGCTGTAAGGTATCTAGCGAGCAATTACTTTTCTAAACTTTTCACTTTTCACTCATTTGGATTGGTAATAATAGTAATGAAATATAGCAGTGGTTGGGTATTCTTTATTCTGCACTAACATCAATTAAATTGCTGATAAACTTTCGAACAATTTCCATGATGATTTGCGCGTTTTTTTGTTGACTGGGAAACCAATGACATTTAATTTAAAACAGAAGTTAAATGCTTTTTAAAAATAAAAGCTATTATGCCTATACACATGATTTTAAAACGCAGAAACAAACGATAAACGTTATTAGCAAATATTATATATATATTTTATTTAATATTAAAACTATTTTCTAAAACTCAATACAAAATTTAAACATCTTTTTAACAAAAATATAACTAGCAAAGTTTGTGGCATACCTTGTTGAAATTTTCTTTCACCACAAAGAAGATGGTATGAGATGATATTTAGAGACCCCGAAAACACGTCTTTTTATATATATCAGTACCGTTAATAATGGTAATTTTATTTCAGGATTTTCAAAGGAATTAAATTTATTATAATTCAGGTTGCATTCATCTCAAGCCCAAGCTTAATTAGTATTCAGTTTTTCTGCGCAATAACACGAAAAAAAAACACGTGACGTTCTGTGATGTTGAGATAAAAATTGTGTTAAATTATTTGATACCAGCAGAACTGTGAGTTTCGAACAATCATCTCACCAAAGCGAGCACAAAAGTCCCGTATGAATGATGAATAAAAAGCGATGGGTACTGGGGTGTGACGAGAATCTTTACAGGAGTCGAAAAGTTGAATTCATTACCGCTGTAACGTATCGAAAGAGATGGAGATAATAATGAAATTAGACATGCCAACGTGATCATAGGGGAAAAGGGGAGCAAAAGCGAGACGCATGAATTATCTCATTTTGTTAGGCTCGATTGTGGAGACTTAACATGAGATCTAGAGGGAGATGAGTGGAATGACATCTAGGTTGATGGGTCGAATGACATATGGGGAGATGGGTGAAATGACATCTAGGAAGATGAGTGTGATGACATCTAAGGAGATAGGTGGGGTGACATCTAGGAGATGGGTGGGATGACATCTAGGGTGATGGGCTAGATGACATCTAGAGAGATGGGTTGGATGACATCTAGGGAGATGGGCGGGATGACATCTAGGGAGATGGGCGGGATGACATCTAGGGAGATGGGCGAGATGACATCTAGGGATATGAGTGGGATGACATCTAGGGAGATCAGTGGGATGAAATCTAGGTGGATGGTAGGGATGACATCGAGGGAGATGGGTGGGATGGGTGGGATGACATCTAGGGAGATAGTTGGGTAACATCTAGACAGAGATGACAGTAGAGATGACAGCTAGAAAGAAAATAGGAAAATGAGTGTGATGACGTCTAGGGAGATAGGTGGGATGACATCTAGGGTGATGGGTTAGATAACATCTAGAGAGATGGGTTGGATGACATCTAGGGAGATGGGTGAGATGACATCTAGGGAGATGAGTGGGATGACATCTAGGGTGATGGGTTAGATGACATCTAGAGAGACGGGTTGGATGACATCTAGGCAGATGGGTGAGATGACATCTAGGGAGATGAGTGGTATGACATCTATGGTGATGGGTTAGATAACATATAGAAAGATGGGTGAGATGACATCTAGACAGAAAGTAGAGATGACATATAGGGAGATTAGTGGGATGACATCTAGGGAGGTGAGTGGGATAACATCTAGATAGAAATAATTGATGACATCTAGGGAGATGAGTGTGATGACATCTAGGGAGATAGGTGGGATGACATCTAGTGTGATAGGTTAGATGACATCTAGAGAGATGGGTTGGATGACATCTAGGGAGATGGGTGAGATGACATCTAGGGAGATGAGTGGGATGACTTTAGGGATATGAGTAAGATGACATCTAGGGAGATGAGTGGGATGACATCAAGGCAAATGAGTGGGATGACATCTAGTGAGATGAGTGGGATGACATCAAGGGAGATGAGTGGGATGACATCTATGGTGATGGGTATGATGACATCTAGGGAGATGAGTGGGATGACAACTAGGGAGATGAGTGGGATGACATCTAGGAAGATGAGCAGGATGATATCTAGAGAGATGGGTGAGAGGATATCTAGACAGAAAGTAGAGATGACATCTAGGGAGATTAGTGGGATGACATTTAGGGAGGTGAGTGGGATGATATCTAGATAGAAATAATGGATGACATCTAGGGAGATGAGTGAGATGACATCTAGGTAGATGGTTGGGATGACATCTAGGGAGATGGGTGGGATGGGTGGGATGACATCTAGGGAGATTAGTAGAGATGACAGCTAGAAAGAAAATAGGAAAATGAGTGTGATGATGTCTAGGGAGATAGGTGGGATGACATCTAGGAGATGGGTGGGATGACATCTAGGGTGATGGGTTAGATGACATCTAGAGAGATGGGTTGGATGACATCTAGGGAGATGGGTGAGATGACATCTAGGGCGATGAGTGGTATGACATCTATGGTGGTGGGTTAGGTAACATATAGGAAGATGGGTGAGATGACATCTAGACAGAAAGTAGAGATGACATATAGGGAGATTAGTGGGATGACATCTAGGGAGGTGAGTGGGATGACTTTAGGGATATGAGTGGGATGACATCTAGGGAGATGAATGGGATGACATCAAGGGAGATGAGTGGGATGACATCTAGTGAGATGAGTGGGATGACATCAAGGGAGATGAGTGGGATGACATCTATGGTGATGGGTGGGATGACATCTAGGGAGATGAGTGGGATGACAACTAGGGAGATGAGTGGGATGACATCTAGGAAGATGAGCGGGATGATATCTAGAGAGATGGGTGAGAGGATATCTAGACAGAAAGTAGAGATGACATCTAGGGAGATTAGTGAGATGACATCTAGGGAGGTGAGAGGGATGACATCTAGATAGAAATAATGGATGACATCTAGGGAGATGAGTGAGATGACATCTACGTAGATGGTTGGGATGACATCTAGGGAAATGGGTGGGATGGGTGGGATGACTTCTAGGGAGATGAGTGGGATGACAACAGATAGAAATAATGGATGACATCTAGGGAGATGAGTTAGATGACATCTAGCTAGATGGTAGGGATGACATCTAGGGAGATGGGTGGGATGACATCTAGGGAAATGGGTGGGATGGGTGGGATGACATCTAGGGAGATTAGTGGGATGACATCTAGGAAGTTGAGTGGGATGACATCTATGGTGATGGGTGGGATGATATTTAGGGAGATGAGCGGGATGACATTTAGAGAGATGGGTGAGATGATATCTAGACAGAAAGTAGAGATGACATCTAGGTAGATTAGTAGGATGACATCTAGGGGGGTGAGAGGGACGACATCTAGATAGAAATAATGGATGACATCTAGGGAGATGAGTGTGATGACATCTAGGGAGATAGGTGGGATGACATCTAGGAGATGGGTGGGATGACATCTAAGGTGATGGGTTAGATGACATCTAGAGAGATGGGTTGGATGACATCTAGGGAGATGAGTGGGATGACTCTAGGGATATGAGTGGGATGACATCTAGGGAGATGAGTGTGATGACACTAGGGTGATGGGTGGGATAATATCTAGGCAGATTAGTGGGATGACATCTAGGGAGATTAGTGGGATAACATCTAGGGAGATTAGTGGGATGACATATAGGGAGGTGAGTGGGATGACATCTAGATAGAAATAATGGATGACATCTTGGGAGATGAGTGAGATGACATCTAGGTAGATGGTTGGGATGACATCTAGGGAGATGGGTGGGATGGGTGTGATGACATCTAGGGAGATAGTTGGGTAACATCTAGACAAAGATGACAGTAGAGATGACAGCTAGAAAGAAAATAGGAAAATGAGTGTGATGACATATAGGGAGATAGGTGGGATGACATCTAGGAGATGGGTGGGATGACATCTAGGGTGATGGGTTAGATGACATCTAGAGAGATGGGTTGGATGACATCTAGGGAGATGGGTGAGATGACATCTAGGGAGATGGGTTAGATGACATCTAGAGAGATGGGTTGGATGACATCTAGGAGATGGGTGGGATGACATCTAGGGTGATGGGTTAGATGACATCTAGAGAGATGGGTTGGATGACATCTAGGGAGATGGGTGAGATGACATCTAGGGAGATGAGTGGTATGACATCTATGGTGATGGGTTAGATAACAATTAGGAAGATGGGTGAGATGACATCTAGACAGAAAGTAGAGATGACATATAGGGAGATAGGTGGGATGACATCTAGGTGATGGTTGGGATGACATCTAGGGTGATGGGTTAGATGACATCTAGAGAGATGGGTTGGATGACATCTAGGGAGATGGGTGAGATGACATCTAGGGAGATGGGTTAGATGACATCTAGAGAGATGGGTTGGATGACATCTAGGAGATGGGTGGGATGACATCTAGGGTGATGGGTTAGATGACATCTAGAGAGATGGGTTGGATGACATCTAGGGAGATGAGTGGGATGACTCTAGGGATATGAGTGGGATAACTTAGGGAGATGAGTGGGATGACATCTAGGGAGATGAGTGGAATGACATCTAGGGAGGTGAGTGGGATGACATCTAGGAAGATGAGCGTGATGATATCTAGAGAGATGGGTGAGAGGATATCTAGACAGAAAGTACAGATGACATCTAGGGAGATGAGTGTGATGACATCTAGGGAGATAGGTGGAATGACATCTAGGAGATGGGTGGGATGACATCTAAGGTGATGGGTTAGATGACATCTAGAGAGATGGGTTGGATGACATCTAGGGAGATGAGTGGGATGACTCTAGGGATATGAGTGGGATGACATCTAGGGAGATGAGTGTGATGACACTAGGGTGATGGGTGGGATAATATCTAGGGAGATTAGTGGGATGACATCTAGGGAGATTAGTGGGATGACATATAGGGAGGTGAGTGGGATGACATCTAGATAGAAATAATGGATGACATCTAGGGAGATGAGTGAGATGACATCTAGGTAGATGGTTGGGATGACATCTAGGGAGATGGGTGGGATGGGTGTGATGACATCTAGGGAGATAGTTGGGTAACATCTAGACAAAGATGACAGTAGAGATGACAGCTAGAAAGAAAATAGGAAAATGAGTGTGATGACATATAGGGAGATAGGTGGGATGACATCTAGGAGATGGGTGGGATGACATCTAGGGTGATGGGTTAGATGACATCTAGAGAGATGGGTTGGATGACATCTAGGGAGATGGGTGAGATGACATCTAGGGAGATGGGTTAGATGACATCTAGAGAGATGGGTTGGATGACATCTAGGAGATGGGTGGGATGACATCTAGGGTGATGGGTTAGATGACATCTAGAGAGATGGGTTGGATGACATCTAGGGAGATGGGTGAGATGACATCTAGGGAGATGAGTGGTATGACATCTATGGT